ACCGACAGGAAACGCGGCCGAGATGGGCTCTCTCGGAATGGAATGCAAGTTGTGCAGAAGGATTTGCAAGAGGCGAGTCTAGAAGGTGTCCGGAAACGGCAAAACAAAAGGTGGAGAGTGTGGGGAAAGGCCGGTTGGGATTGGTACTACTGGACTGGGTTGGTAATTGAGAAGAGGATGAAGCGGGGTGGGCAGTAAGAAAATGGGAAAATCGGAAAGCGGTTTTCTCAAGTGTGAAAAAGGAGAAACAAAACACCAACGTAATTTGCCACCCTCACCTCCCCTTTCTCACTTTCCGCGGAGAAGAAATAAAGAAAGAAAGAGTAAAAGTGTGAATATACATGTAAATGTACTTTACATACCCTTTTTGCATCTCGGTCGTATTAGGTTAAGCGACACTCTTCTCTCCGCGTTGCATCCGTTTTTCTTTTGAGCCGAAACAAGAAGAAGAAGAAGAAGAAGAGCTCACGGGAATGTTCGGATCATCCCTTCACTCCTCATATTATGTACATTTTGATCAAAAATGCATGGTGGAAATATAATTATATACATTCGAATTAGATATTCTCCCTCACATTTTAGGCCTAAAAGTTTTGGTCACGGATTTCGCATTCGCACTATCATGCTATGCATTTTTGATGATGAACGCGTTTTCGTGTTCGTTTTCCGGAATGGAAGAAGAGCTTATGCATGCATATTTGTCATTTGATAGGGCTAATAATTGAAGAAGAAAGTGGGGGGTTGAAAAGAAATGTGGGGAAAGGAGAGAGGGATCAAAATAATAGAGTTCGGGGGATTATTTATGTGACTTATGAGATATTCAGTACAATTCAGAACTGATAGTGCAAAAGGTCACAGTAACCGTCGATTGTGGTCGTTCTGGTAACGAACATACTCTGTCATGTTTTTTAAAGGTAATTACAGAATCTCAGGGTATCTGTGTACATTCAGGCCAAATTTACACAAAAAAAACCAAAAAATTTGACTAACATCTTTCAAATAAAACATCTGTGTTTATTTCATTCCTCTCGTGAACCGCTATAAAATCGAGGGGAGCCATGCCCACCCATATTCCATGAAAAACCATAAAAAGCGGTCTGTCCCCAACATAAAACCTTCAATTAACCAGTACCAGCCCCCTCTCTCGTTCTCTAACGGACATGTTCTAATGCACTTAGGAACACGGGGCTAAATAACCTCCCCTCACTCCCTTTTCTCTCAACTTCTCAAGCTAACCAACCGTATGGAACCTAATAAGTCCCCATTTTGCCAATTTTGGACTAATTTCGTGGAAATTGACGGAAAATTGTTTAAGTTAGTTCGATCACCAAAAGGGTATGAGTAAACAGAAAAAGGGAGAGGGAGGGGGAAACGGACTAAAATTTGAATATGAAGAGAGGAGAAATGGGTAAGGGAAGAAGGATGAGCAAACAAGTTGAGAATCAATCTGCTGCCGAGTGCATGACCCACAAAAACTAGGGTAAATGAAGAAGTGTACAGACATTCATTTTTAGTCAGTGTTTAGCGAAAAACTAGATCAAGTTCTGGAAAGAAACGAACATTTTAATGTTACAATTGTCATATCGCTCTTCAGACAAAAAGAACGCTCAAAAATACAAAAACAAGGACTAAAATTCAAAAATTTGCAAAACTTCCAAGTAGACGGATGACAGAAAGAGGGGACACATAAGAAAAATTGTGGCCCTTGGTGGATATTAATCATTCGGTGAGGACGGAAGAGATGGGGGGTATAGGACAAAAAAGCTGCTGAAGTTTTGAAAAGGTTGAGAAAGAACGGAACAATTAGACTAGTTGGCATGAATACGGGGAGAGTTTCTTCGAATAGTAATGTAGAAATCTGTAGGATAACATTGGCAAAATGACTTGGCGCTTTGTGAATTGGAGTAAATTTTCTATAAAAGTGAGAGATGATTACATTCCACTTCCAACCATGAAGATAACAGTAAACATGAAAGAAACCAAGATCTCGGCTGGAAACCAATTGCAAAATTGTGGAAAAGAGAGGAAAAAGGAAACTTCCCATGCCGGGAATCGAACCCGGGCCGCGTGGGTGAAAACCACGAATCCTAACCACTAGACCACATGGGACTATGAGTGTCGCCCTCTCCACGCCGTTCACTATGTCGGTTTCCGCGGCCGAGCGGCGGGAAGCTATCTGTGCGGGTGGACGACGCGAAGAATGAAAGAATTTAGTTTTTTTGTCCTCGGCGAGGAGGAGGATGAGCACATTTGACAAAAAAAAGTTGTAGAAACACTCAAAACCCTTTTTTCCACTGCATAATTGACCATATACATGTTCAACTATTCAAAAAATGGAAAATAAATGAACTGGAACAAATTTTCCAACATTTTTCCGTTTTTTTTCCTCTTCTGAAGCTCGCTTGGTGTTCACAAATGTATTTTTGGGAAGTTATTCTGGATTTACACCTTGCAATGTAGCAAAATAATCATAATAATAATAATAATGGAAATGAAAAAGCGTTGGTCGGAAGTCATAGGCAAGTGGCAGGGAGGAAATTAGAAACTAGACGCGGTCCAGTTACGGCCCGATTATTTGGTTACACACATTTGCCTATGCCCCCCCACTTTGTCTTGTTAACAGAGACAAATGATCTGATAAGGGTCGGAAAGCGGCGTGGTAGAACGTGTAATACCGCATTGACCTTTGCTGGGGAAAACAGACATATGAATACATAGAATCTGAAAATGAAATTCACGAATATATTAACAATATCATTTGACGCCTTTGAGGTCTCCACAAATGCATAAAATCAAAGAAGTTTTACCGGACAACGTTCAGCTGCGATATTCTCATCAGACCAGAGGTAATCAGTCAGAATCTTTCACTAAAAATAGTTCAAGACTGATAATAAACATGCTGTAATCTTCGGTTTTTGTTTTATGTGTTCAGAAACTGACGGTTCTCTGTTTTCCTATGAGAACGCCGTATTTTAGTTTTATCTAATCTAGATTTTATCAAAGCTTGGTGATGCGGCTTGATACACCAATTTTTTATTGGCGAGCTGAAAAATTTTGCTGCCGGTGCACGGATCGTCCGATGACGATCATGTCCTTGAATGACTAAGCCTCCCCGTGACGGAGGACAGAAACAGGAGCTTCCTTTGCTGGGAATAGTTTCCCGGCTGGAAGCTCGCCGGCTAATTAGTAAAAATTCCAAGAACGTTCTTCAGGTTTACTCCAGAAATGTCCTCTGAACTTCAGAGGAATGATTCCGTTCCGATTTGCAGCTAACAAGTCATTCAAGATGTTCCTTCTGTAAACCGGATGACTTCCGCAATCTGGACTTTTTGACACACATGTCCCAACTCACAACTCAAGACAAGACACGGAGGACTCTGTCACGCCTGCCGATGAACCGCAGGAGGAGTAATTAATTAATCGTATAAAATGATCACTTTTTATTGTTTCCATTTTATCCCGTTTTCCAGTTTTGCCCCGTCTTCTCGTTTTGAATGTACTGTTCAATCTTTGTTTTTGTTATGCAGTATTCCACTCGTAAAGATGACGTAACTGCACACCTTTTCTTCTTTCCGTTCATGTTACCTTCAAGAGATTTGCGAGAGTTTTGCTTAAATTTCGGTAGATCTATCGAAGACTGCTTCCGAAAGCGCACACTGCTCTCCACTGAAAAGCCAAAATGTTTCTTCTTCTTTCAAAATATGCAAATTCTTCGTGCTTCCTTCCTTTTCTTGCACTTTTCTCCCACTATTTTGACCTTGTTCTGAAGAGATTTAAAACTCCTCAATGGAGGGGGGGGGGGGTCAATATGTAGTATTAGGGTGTGGACGCATGTTGGTCGAATAAGTAAAGCTAGATGATGAGGCCGCCGGAATTGGACATTATTGAAGGCGAGTGGCCGTTGCTTGACGGAAGGGACTCTCCTCGACCTGCGGACTCCTTTCCTGCTCTTCTTTTGCCTTTTCTTTTTCTTCTTCTAGTTTGATGATGCACCGGAGGCCCCCGGCCGGCTTCTGCCCGTTTTTCATCTTCGTGCATTGCATTACCCATTGCGCCCCTCCATCTCCCATAGGTAGTTCAATCTTCTCCGCGGAAGCGAAGAGCCGCCGTCTATCCATTTCATGTGGTCGGTTGGTACAACAACTTTAGTGTAAACTGCATTGGCCCCAGAATGTACACTTTTGTCAAAGTACTCCTTTTTTCTGTGAAAGCTACTTTTACCATCGCTCAAAATCACAGTAAGGGTCTGATTTGTGACTTCGAAGTCATTTCTGTGAACTTTTTTCCCGAATTTCTCCTTCTCCAGGCTAGAGAACAGATAAGTAGAAAAACAATTTTTATACTGAAAATATTCTTCCAATACTCTCTATTCTCGAGTTATTATGATTGAGAAGTATATGAGCAACCGATGACAATGTTTTAGTGGCAGTATTTTTTGTAGAGGTGTGAATTAATGTGATTTGTAAGAAAGGTTTCAAAAAAATGTGAGATTTTTTCTCGTAACACTACAGAAGCTCATAGACGTCAAGCTATGTCATATCAGCTCTGAAGTCGCAGGAAAACTAGACTTGCACTATTATAAAACACGAAAAAAGCGTGCGCACACTGATCTTTTTGTGCTCTGACCACCAAGTCAAAAAAGCAAGAACATTCTTGTTCCGCGCCCCACCCCCCGTTTCCTCAGAATTTCTCAAGTGTGCCAAATTTGGCAGCGGAAAGGCAGAACTTGCCCGTCCCTCTTTCCCGTCCAAAAAGTGTTCCCCCAACTCTCTCTATTTCCTCTTTCCTCCTACACCACTCTCCTTTTCTCATTACCAGCTAGTTTACGACCCCCCACATTCTTTGCCCACTCATTCACTCACTCACTGTTTCATTTTCCGAAACAAAACGTCTCTTCAACGTGGCCGCTCCTCTTCGAAAAACGAGACTCGTGTGTGCCTGCGCGGTTCATTGGGTTTCTTCCGCTTCTCTCCCAGGGCCTGGAGAAAATTGGCTCAAAAATGGCGCTTGGCACAATTGTGGAGGAGCATTCAAGTTTCCAACAGCACCACCGACCCTCGCTGCCGTCCCCGCCTCCTATTAAGACATCGTCTCCCGAACCGCCGCCGCCGCCACTCTTACCACACTTGCGCACCAATGAAATGAGCCTCGGCGAGCGAGTATCTAAAGTGAGTCATTTTTAAATTAAATAAGTCATGTACTCGTTGAAAGGTGCTCCTTTTGTTCTCATTCAAAAACTCTGTAAAAGACATTTGTTTAGATTTTTTGTTTTCCTTATCACCCCCCCCCCCTTCTTCCTTTGTTTTATGCTTTCCCATTTTTCCACTTTTCAGTTTGTAATTGAGGCGCGATGTACCGACAACATGCTCTTTTCGGGTGCCATGGCAGTCGGCGGTTTTGTGTTAGTTATGCAGAGTTTTCCAATCTTCATGAACAACTGGGTGTTTCTAACGGAGCCACGTAGCATCAACAAGACGAATGAGAATGGAGAACAACTAGTGAGTTGATTACAGATCGTTTTCACATACAATAAACATACGATTTTAGGAATCAACGTTTCACTATAACACGGGTTACTTTCAAATTTGTCGAGTTCATATCAATAACAACTCTGGAATCATGTTTGATGAAATGGAAATTCCACGTGAGTTTTTTATTCAAATTAACTGAGAGAAACTAGAATTACAGCTTCTGAAAGTGAATACAAATGCTACCTCAATCCTCTTCTTTCCCAAGTCGATCTCAGCGACATTTCCCTTGCTTCTCTCGCGGTAATTAGTGAGTGTGCTTGATCCAATTTACCCCCCTCCCCTCATCTTTTACTTCTTTCGTCCCCTGACCTTCTATTTTCAGTACGGCTTGGCTTACCTGCTCTTCTACATGTCAGCGGAGCGCTCGTTTGCTGTTTCGCTTTCTTTCTGGGGGTTGTTGGACACATCCGGTCGTCTTTCTACACACTTTTCTCATCGATTACCTATATTTGTGGAAGTGAGTTTTGCTTTACCACGTTACAGGCAATCAGAGGCGCTTAAAGTAAGCAAAAACCATAACAAAAAAGACAAAAGGAAGTAGGGGGCACCCGGAGTTGAACCGGGGACCTCTCGATCTGCAGTCGAATGCTCTGCCACTGAGCTATACCCCCGCATGATCATCCACTGTTCAACCTCGGGCAAACAATCGCGGAAAATCAACAAAATCGCCAATCCATTTCAATTCGCCGATTGTTTGCCCGTGGTTGGACAGTGGATGACCATGCGGGGGTATAGCTCAGTGGCAGAGCATTCGACTGCAGATCGAGAGGTCCCCGGTTCAACTCCGGGTGCCCCCTACTTTCTTTTTCTTTTTTGGAGTCACATGTATTTCTTAAAAACGTAGCATTTGAAGAGACCCGGATGCAGTTTTTGACAGTTTGATGTGAATAGATAAAATGCTTAGAAATTCATATCAAATTAAATTTGGGCAAAACATCAGCCACGTGTGAAAAAGTTAGCAACAGAGGCGACGAGTTTTTGGGACGTAGTGAAGTTGACAGCAGCCGGAGTAGTCGGAAGATTAGCAGTTGGCATCTCGTTAAAAGCAACGATGTTGCGGATGTTTGTCTCGTTGCTCACGGAGCTTCCAACATTGACTCCTACAAAACTCGAATTAGACGGACAAAATATGAATTTAACTAACCAATCTTCTCATCGGAGCACAGCGCCTTGTTCATGGCTCCCATCGCCACGTTGTAGAGACGATCCGAGAATCCGATGTTAGCTTTCGGCGCATCTGGCGGAAAGTGAGGAAGTGGAACTTCGAAGATCATCTTTAGAAGTTGAAATGTACATCCTGCCTCCGAGTCAATGGTTTTATACCGGCCCCAGAGGCGTTCGAGGGAGGGGGTGGAGGTCGTTACAAATTTTATTATCGCGTTGGCGGACGGGGCTGAAATTCTGGTAAAAAAGAATGTGACGGTGACGGAGATTGAAGGACCAGAGAATATGATACCAAGGCCATCTTCTGGATGTTTTACATTGATTTTTTCAGGCATAATTCTGTGCATAGCAGTTCTGATGGTGGTTTGTGTGGTCGACGATGAGTTGGCGCCGAGAATGAAACCGAATGCGGCTGGTGAACCCAGCAAGTTCAGTTATATCTATGGTAACATTCCGGTAGCTGAACCATAATGATCATGACTTCCAGGACCACCGTTCTTCTCCTCAGCTCTTTCATTCATCCCAGTGCAAATCTGTGCATGTTTTCATGCTTTCTTATACTTCCGAAGGTACCCATCTGTGGTGGAAAAGCTGAAATTTGTGCCTGGACTAGAAGCAAAATGTATGTTTAATTGAACCACGAGTAGTTTTCAATGTGATTCATGAACTTTCAGTACGCCGTGCACAACTCGACAAAGAACTCGGAATACCGCCACTGGAGAGCTTCAGAAGGGGATCTCTCGCCTCGTACCTTCCGATTCCCAATTTCTCGCAAGGATCTCGCAGGAACTCGCGGAGATCCAGCCAAGCTTCGTTTTCTAACCCGAGCTTGCTTTTTATGCAAGAAGTTTGAATTTGTTGTTCATTTTTCATGTTCATTCAAATGAATTTTGCTTTTTTTCAACCCCGGAAGCGTAAGATGATGTTCCGTCACAGACTGAATTCAATGAAGTAAGTTTCTTAACGATCCTTCTGAATGTGAAAATTTGGAAACCAGTTCATTATCTGACTTGGGACTGATGAATTTTTGAATTTTGGTGGCATGAGTCAGAAGTGGATGTCGGTAAGAATTTGGATATCGGATGATATTCAAAACTTTTCAGGTCCTTTTCATTTCTTTCGTTTTCCGTTTCTGATCTCTGAACACACACTGAAACCGATCTCTTCGTTTTGTTCCGACGCCCCCACCTTTTTTCCAGATTTCTAGCCGCCGATCGCCTGCACAGCAATGAATACTTACGACATGCAATAACCAGATTCGTCAACTATTCAACGAGATAGTACAGTAACAATAGGCACAGACTTTACTGATAGTGGGATGATGTGACGCAATGGATAGCCTTTCGAAGTTTCTGGTGGCCATTATTTGAGACTTTCAATGGATCGAACTTGGGTTTCACAAAGATTGGGATGAATAAAATCCCACAACGTGGCGATGGGAGTCAGTTGAATTCATTTTTTTGTTTTTTGGCGAGCAGGGACTGAAAAATCTGAAAAACAACGGTTATGGATCATTTTTTCGTGTGCGAATAATCATTTCTTTTGCCTAACCGGATGTCCCCGGGAAGGCTTTCCAAAAGTTAAAGTTGTTCGACACTCTCTTTCGAAAGGTCGGAACTCCAGCGTACCTTGAGTATCTGGGTTAAAACCGAAGAGGACGGCGCGGCCTCCGCTCTCCTTTCCTATGTCCCGACAAAAACGAGGCACGCGCAAACCACGAGAGATCATTGAGACGTGGACGCAGACGGCAATACACTGGCGGCCGGGCAAGCGAAGGAGAAGACGAGGAAACAGAGGGGAGAATCGAGGTTGTTGCAATGGACACGATGCATTGTACAGAGAGTGATTTCCGTTTGTCAATTTCGAATGCTTATCAAACTCCAATCAATTCAGAAGCTGATGGTTCGCATCTAGACATGATTATCGAAAACTTGCATGATTTCGATTACAATCAGATAACTAGCTATGTACAATTTGTAACTATTTCCTGTCCTCTCCGAATGACTCAAAACCGTATAAAACAAACGAATAGAAGACACAAATTAGCATTCAAGAATGATCTTCAAAACCTGTGGTTCTTACGACCGCATTGGAAGAGGGAAATGATTAAGAGTTTGTCATAGCAATAATGTCGGAGAGAGGAAGTGAGAGTTCGATCACGCCCCTTTAGCCTTATCATAAAGGTGGAGGAGGCGGGACCACAAAAATTTCAAATAGGGCAGATGTACACTATATATTGTACATCCATTAAACATGTATCACACATAGGTTATCTGATTGAAATCGAAATCATACAGGTTTTCAATAATCATGTCTAGATGCAAACCATCAGCTTCTGAATTGATCGGAGTGTGATAAGCTATCAAAGTTGACAAGCTGAAACCACTCTCTGTGCAATGCGTAGTGTCCATCCCCTTTCTTTCCTCGTCTTCCCCTTCGCCTGCCCGGCCGCCAGTGTATTGCTGTCTGCGTCTACGTCTCAAAGATCTCTCGTGGTTTGCGCGTGCCTCGTTTTTGTCGGGACATGGGAAAGGGTAAGAGCGGAGGCCGCGCCGTTCTCTTCGGTTATAACCCAGATACTCAAGGTACGCTGGAGTTCCGACCTTTCGAAAGAGAGTGTCGAACAACTTTAACTTTTGGAAAGCCTTCCCGGGGACATCCGGTTAGGCAAAAATAATGATTATTCGCACACAAGTGTTCTGTAAACAATGAAAAATGGAAAACAATACAAAAATACGGGATAATGTTTATTGTAAGAACCACACGTGTCGAAGACCATTCTTGAATCATAGTTTCTATCTCCTACTCGTTTTTTTATACGGTTCCGAGTCATTCGGAGAGTTACACATTGTATGGTTTCGTTGGCGAGCGGGGATTAAGAATCTGAGCAAAACAATGTAACAGGTTCAGGTGGTGGCGATGGTAAAGGCATCAAACAACACTAACACCTTATTTGAGTTGATATTTCAAACATCTTCCTCAGAGTATTCGAGGATACAGCACTTGACTTCGAAACCCAGATGCACTATTCTTTCGCTCATGTGAACAGAATCATTCACTGTCCAACCAGCCATGACCAAATAATCGCGAAAAGTCAACAAAATTGCCTATCCGTCCTTCTTATCGCCGATTGTTTGCCCGTGGTTGGACAGAGGATGAACATGCGGGGGTATAGCTCAGTGGCAGAGCATTCGACTGCAGATCGAGAGGTCCCCGGTTCAACTCCGGGTGCCCCCTACTTCCTTTTGTCTTTCTTGGTAACAGAAAAAACAGAGAAACACATAAATTTAAGCAACCCGGATGTAGTTTTTGAAGTTTAGCAGGTGTATTTCGTAGGTGTATTCCAGTTGAAGAACGATACAACACACACACACTTGTGTTGATGGAAATCAGGTTCAAGACGAGATAGCAGAGAGTTTATGAGAGGAAAGAAAAACGCAACAATTTGGCTTCTACGTTTGACAATAAAATCCATAAAACCGCCTAAAATGGGTGCTCGGGCTCAACAGCAATATGCGAAACGTGATGTTTGTGTTCGAGGGACACCAGCGACAAGTCAAAAATGAAATATATGAAAACAGCACCAGTGGTGCATAACCAAAACATTTTCGCTCACCGAATTTTCAGGTTGAGCCAGCATTTCGCGCTTATGACCTGCTTTAAAAAAAGCAAGTCAAACTTGGCAAAACGTTGGAAAAACTTCTGATTTCCAATGCCAAAGCTCTCCTATCCGTATGATGGCGATTTTTACGACTTTTTCAATGGGGTTAGGAGTAAATCTAGTCTTTCACTCTCGTTTTACGAACAAAGAACAAACAAAACTTTTGTTTCTTTCCAATACACCCTTTCCGAACCCGCCTTTTCAATTTCCTGTCTCAGGCAGGATTGTCAAATTGTGATATTCTCATTTCCGATATTTTTGAGTTACACCTTTGTTTTCTTGTTTTTGACTCAAATCGAACATTTTTTTACCCAAATATAAGAAGAAAACGTGAATGTGAAAAGAACTTCGAATAACGTTTTCAGAAACACGCCTTCAGTCACAGTTTTGTAAAACTACACTAATTTCAATGTTTAAAAAAAATTTCTGGCTATCGTAGTTTTAGTTTTGCATCATAACAAACAAAACTGAAATCCAAACTCTCATTTCTGCAAATTGCCGTTTTTCCAACTACGCGTTCCTATGTTTATTATTCGCGTTTTGAAATCCGAGTTGGTCCTCCGACTCGAAAGGCAGCTCATTTGTAGAGGGGGGGGAATCTTTCTCATTGGTGCCTATCGTTTTACATCCTCCCCCGTCTTTGACTCTCCTTTCTCCCTACCCCTCCCCCAGATCTTTTTCCATTCCGTTTTTGGCGTTGGCTCATCCATCGGAATTATTCCAGAAGATCCTTTTCGTCTCCTTCCCACCCCCTCCCTCCCAATCCACACGCCCAAATCTGTTCCGCTCGCCTGATCAAGCACTTCTCGAATCAGAATTAGACGCGACGAGATGATTTTATGATGATTCATTCACTTTTCGGACTTTAGAATTTAGTATTGTGAATGAATGCGGCGAGTTGTACAGAAGAGACATCAAAAATGCCAAATTTCATTAATATTCTTCAACTTTTTGCGATCAAGCGTGAGGAGCTTTTTTGGGATTTTGAAAAGAAGACACAAATCTGGGAGGGAGAAAAATCGGTTAATTATTCATTTTGCGATCCCTCCTTCATGGTCTCCCCGGTCACTTCACCACCTTCCGAGCGGGGGGTGTGACTATCTATCATCTTTTTTTCATAAATTTCTTTCGAAGTTTCAACCGTATATTGTTCTGAAACGTGCCTGAATTCATAGGTTCTGATCTCTCCTAAACGCGTCCTTCCGTCTTTCCTCATTTTCTGGTCGGCTCTGACCCTTCCCGTATCTGTCAGAATGCATTAAATCATTATATTCCCGCCGTTCCGATCCGACATTTTCTTCTCCGCCGCTCGTTTCCTACCGTAGTTCCCGTCCACTTTTTTACCTAAACGAATAACCAAATGTGCTTCCCTTCCGAGCAATCATCTCGCATCGACGCCCGGGCGCCACTCCCCCGGAACCCATCCCCTGTTGTCTGTCTTCTTGATACGGACTCTCTCGCATCCATTTCCGTGGCGCCTTTTTGTTCCTGATTGCCGTAAGGTTCGGGGGAAGACATTTGGTTTTGGAACTATGTCCGCTGTTTTCTGCCTTTGTTTTCGATCACTGATTCTTGACTAGTTTTGTTCATTATTGTCATCTTTTCATTATTACCTGGAACTTACAAAACACTCAATGGCCATAAAGTCTGTCTCAACTGATAATAATTAGAGTCAGACCCTCACAGAGTCAGATCACACAGACAGCTATTCAAAAGAGTATGCATACAAACTAGAAGGTTGATCAGCATGCTGTAAAGCTAAAAATGTTATATTTTCAGAGATATTAGTGAGTTCCAATTGTTCCTTACACTTTTGTACTAGATTGGTCTTCCCGTCTTTTCTAGACTGTTTTGTCACAGTCTCAAGAGGGAGGATCAGCACCAACCATTGAATTGTTTTCTAGTTGGGTACCTTGTGGGACTCATGTGTTTGCGATCCTCTTATCTCGCTTTTTAGGAGTCTTCTGCCACCCGTGTGGCTAGTCATTTGTACCACTCTGCACACCTGTTAACATTTGGGAATCATGCTACATTGAAGAGTTATCCTCAATCCACATTTGGCAAACTTTATTTCATACACGACATCTATCAAACTCAGTTTTTCCCAAATAAATGAATTAAGGAAATGTGTCACCAATTTCTTTTTAATTAACCAATTGGTCTGGTGTACACAATCTAAAAATACACAAAAA